CTACCCCTCACTGGAATATGAAATTTTAGAATATCCTGGAGTATCACATCATAAGACAAGACCTGGTCTCAATCTCTTCATTAATCAACAAGCTCTAATTAAATGTTGCTTTCTGTGTGACAGATGAGGTGTTAAACTCTGCTTGGCTTACACTGAAGGACAGAATCCTTTTCTAGACAATTTTTTCCAGACTTGAACCTATTTTGTACTTTTCCCTCTTGGCCTAAAATTCCTTTCTTACAATTAATTCTATGTCCTTACATTGGCTATTTTAGATGCTTTTAATTATTTCAATGTGATTAAAGGGTCTTTCTGATCAGCTAAAATAATTGAGGTTGTTTATTTTGAAAGTGAGAGAATTAAGATAAATGATAGCAGTGAACTAGAAGAAATGATTCATTGATTCATTCAGCTTATATTAATTGAGCCCTGACTATATGAATTGCGCTGAGCTGGAAACTGGGGAAATTCAGAAAAGATAACTCATAAGTGTCAAATTACTTTTACATACAAGCACTCTGGAGGAGGAGGATTGTTGAGGTGGGAAATTAGATTGGTATTGAAGAGTGGGTATTGCCTAAGTGAGGAAATGGGTGAGGGTATTCCAGTTAGGGACAGGAGCATGCACAAAGCCACACAGGCAAGAATGAGTGAGGGCTCTTCGAGGGAATGGAGTAAATCAGTTTATTAAAAATGGAGGAATTGTGAGAAGGAAGAATGGGACATGCAGAGCATATCATGGAGGACCCTGAATTCTAAGCTAAGGTTTGGACTTTTAGATTAAGTCATGGAATAGTTGTATGCTTTTGAGGGAATAAATTACTTGATAAATGTGGTACTTGGGATAAAGAAAGGTAGTGAGGCCCAGAGAGAGCTACCTATGGATTCAGGATGAACTGGGATCAAGATCTACTTCTGATACGTATTTATTGTGGGACGACAAACAAGTAACTTAACCTCTCAGTGCCCCCAAGAAATTCTTAAGATTATAAATTACAGGGACAGCTAGGTGGTGCAGTGGATAGAGCAGCGGCCCTGAAGTCAAGAGGAACTGAGTTCAAATCCAGCCTCAGACCAAACACTTGACACTTACTAGCTGTGTGACCCTGGGCAAGTCACTTAACCCCAATTGCCTAAAAAATAAAAAAAATTTTGAAAAGATTATAAATTACAGAAAAAGTTCCAGGCATTGGAGGGAGTTGAATCATAAGTCAACAGTGCCTTGGGGGAGGGGCAGAAGAAAAAGGGGAAGGGACAAGCTCAGCCACAAAGCTACACAGAATGATTGGATTAGAGGGAGGGACTTGAGATAGGAGACCAATTAGAATCCTACTATCATAACCTAGACATGAAGTAATGAGTGACTGGAATTGGGAGGTAGCAATGGCAAGGAAAAGAAGGGGCAGTAAGTACTACCTATGTGGCAGTTGGGTGGCACAGTGAGTGCAGGGAGTCAGGAAGACATGAGTTCAAATCCAGCCATGGTACTTACTAGCTGTGTGACCTGGGCAAGTTACTTGACCCTTGTTTGCCTCAGTTTTCTTATCTATCAAATGGAAATATTAATTGCAGCTACCTCCCAGGGTTGTTGTGAGGATCAGATAAGATTAAAAACTGTAAAGCACTAAGCACAGTGCCTAGCACATAGTAGGCACTCTATAAATGTTAGTTATTATTATATCTGGCCTTGATGCGGTTTAGGGGTTTGGGGGTTCTGGGACCACAAAATCACAACACGCGGGTCCTGCCTGAAAGAATTCGACCCAAGCCTTCTTTCAGCCAAAGACAAGATTTATTGGGTAGACTCTTAAGGAGTTCAAACATGAGTAAGCAGTGGCTAGATTTTAAGAATCCCAACCATGGCTAGATTATAAGAATTTGAGCATCTTAATGGAGACAAGATGGACCTTATATACAGAAAGCCTGTGGGAGGGATCTAGGAGTGGCCAAGTAGTTTGGGGTGATGGGAGGAGGGACCTAAGGAGATCTGGATGGGAGTGGCCAGTAAACTGGGGTGAACAGAACTCCTGGGACCTGGAAAATGGATTAAGTATGGGAAATGGCCAGGGGCCATAGGGAGGTAAAACAATGGAGGGGAGATTGGGTGTAGCCACAATGATAGGCCAGTTGATAGGATTATAGCCTCTGGCTAACGCCAGAGATTTGGCCATGTGGGAAAGTTCAGGGTTTTTCTTTTCTGGGGTCTAGATCCTCACTCACTAGCTGTGTGACCATGGGCAAGTCACTTAGTTCCTGTTTGCCTAAATTTCCTTTGTAAAAGGAGGATAATAATAGCACCTACTTCCCAGAGTTGTTGTGAGGATGAAATGAAATAATAAAAGCAGTTAGCATGATGCCTAGCACACAGTAAGCACTGCATAAATACTGGTTATTATTATTAATAATAATTTTAATTAGTATACATTGAAAGAAGAATCAAGAACTTATAAGATTCCTGCTGTCTACATAAAAATAATAACAACTGCGCTCAACAACTTAGATTTTAAAAGCACTTTGGTGTCCCTGAAACAGTCCCAAGGAGTAGGACGTATTGGTCTTATTTCCCCCAAGTTGAACCTGTGGAAGGAGAGGAAGAACTCCATAAAGGAAGGGAAGTATAAGAAGAGTGCAGGGTTCAGGGTCTAGGCCTGAGCAGTGTTCAACAGCAGCCCCAGTGAGGAGTTTAGAGAGAAGTGCATGATGTAGTTTAAAGGTTAGCAGCGCTGGGACCCCAAAATCACAACACACTGGTCCTGCCCGAAAGAATTCGACCCAAGCCTTCTTTCAGCCAAAGACAAAGTTTATTAGAACACCAGTCATATTGGGCAGATTCTTAAGGAATCTGAACATTAGTAAGCTATTGGCTAGATTATAAGAATCTGACCAGTCACTAGATTTTAAGAATCTAAGGAGTGGCTAAATTATAAGAATCCCAGCATCTTAGTGGAGACTAGATGAACCTTATATACAGAAAGACTGTGGGAGGGATCTAGGAGTGGCCAAGTAGTCGATGAGGCAATAGAATTCCAGGGACCCGGAGCCTAGATAGGACCAAGGGTGGGAAGTGGCTTGGAGGCAAGACAATGGAGGGGAGATTGGGTATAGCCAAAGGCCAGTTGATGGGATTATAGCCTCAGGCAAATGCCAGAGATTTGGCCAGGTGGGAAAGTCCAGGGTTTTTCCTTTCTGCGGCCCAGATCCCAACCCCATCAAAAGGAACCAGAGGAGGTAGGAAATGATAGGTAGAGATAATATGGCACAATGTACCAGAGACTAAGGGAGAAGTTGAGAAGGTCGGGGGTATCAGATGTAGTAACGAAGTTAAAGGAAATGAGAATTGTAGGGGAAAAAATGTTATTGAGACTAGGACAAATAGGGGTTTAAACTGTAGAAAGGAAGATTTGTTAGATATTTTAAAAAAAACCTTTCTTTATGTCAAGACTCTTAAAAAAAAACCTATCATTTAAAGGGAAATTCTGGAAGTTTTAAAGGATAGGGTTGATATAAATTTATAGACTAGTAGAGATTATTGTGAGAAAGAATGGTCAGGGAAGGCTTCAAGGGGAATTTGAAAAACTCTTTGGTGGGAAAGAGTTAGATTGTTGGAGGAGACACAAGTGAACATTTGAACTTTAACCAATACATAAGGGGAACCATTGAAAGGCTCTGAGGAAGTGAGTGATATAATGAATCTAAGCAACTAAGTCGTTTAGATGTTGCTGTTTGTCCTTCTCAAAGAGGACCATGACATCAGGGAGGTGATGCCATGACATTCAAGTGAATTGGATTTAAGTGAGAGAGGGCTGTGCAAAGTCACCAACCTCACTTTCATCTCTGGAGCCATCTGGGTCCAGTGGCCAGATGTAGATCAGGATGACTAGAGATGGCCCTGGATGCATTGGGGACCTTGGCTTTTTCAGGCTAGGTCTTTAACAGGTCTCAGTTTGACTGAGACAAGGCCCATTCAGTGATTAAGATATAATAAGAAATGAATTAGAGAATGGCCTCTTTACTAATAAAAAAAGAAAACAATAGGGAGGGGAAGACCCTCAGGGTTTCTGGCCAAAATAGAAACAATTGCTATTTACATAATTCTCCATGGAAAAGGGGAAAAAGTTAAAGGATCTAAAAGAGTTTTCCTTTCAATAGATTAAATCAGTGTTTATCTTTAAATCACAATGATAAAAACAAGTTGTATTGGTATAGTACTTCAAAAAATACATTATTTCATTTGCATTATTTTGCAAAAAAAAAATACATTATTTCATCCAGTATGACTACTTGGTGAAAAAGGTATTAAAAGTGTTATTTTCCTCTTTTTACATATAGGTAAAGTGAGGCTGAGGTCAAGTGATTTATGTAAGGGCATGAAACCAGTAAAGGCTAGAGTTGATGCTTAAACCCAGACCCAGTAAATTTTATACTATGGTTGCCTCTCTGTTGATATCTTCAGTCTATAATGGAGATTTTTATGTGTTTTTTTTTCCCAATGGTGGGGACGAGTCAGAAGGAAGTCTCCATCCCTGGAATTCTATTGAAAGTGAAATTACTAAAAATATTATTTAATATTTCTAATTTTTGTTGTTAATTACTTTTTTCTTAATTTGATGAAATTTCCAAAGATAAGCTACAAGTATGATGGTTGTGTTTAGTTTGTTGAACTAATTTATTTACAATTAAATACCACTTATAAACAACTGTCAAGGTTGAGTTTAATGGATGTCATAGTTCACATTTGGATTATGTGTCATTTTTCTTTTGGCCCTCAGATTCTGTTAACTTCAGAAAGTATATTTAAAAATACATAGAACTATTTTCAAGACGAGTCACTCTAGTGAAACATTTTGGAAATACCCCTAGGGGAATCAGTATAATCATTTAGGCAGCAAAAATAACTGATAACATGTCAAGCTTTTAAGTAAATGTCTTAATGGAGTTGACCTAATACCAACAGCACTGTCAGACTTGCTGCTGATGCTCTCCTGTTCCTTTCTATGCAGAGAATTTGGATGGAGAGATCCTGAACTTCCTGAAGTGATACAGATGCTTCAGCATCAATTCCCTTCTGTGCAGTCAAATGCTGCAGCCTATTTGCAACATCTCTGTTTTGGAGACAATAAAATTAAAGCAGAGGTAAGACTGATTGGATTTTTTTTTCCTTTCAGATTAATATCTACTTTGGATTATTTATATTCATTGCAAAGGGGATAGTTAAGATTACATTTTATGAATTTAAATTACTAAATTCACACGTAAGGGTGTTTTTAAAGTGAGGCTTTCCCTGTATTCATACCCTGCTGTCTCACTTGATTGTGATTTTTTTTTCTTTTGCATAGTTTACTAAGAATAACAATGATATGTTCTATTTGACAAATCAGATTTTGATAACCAAGTGCTTTGACACTTTTCACCTCTACTCCTACTTTTGAGGAAACTGAGGCAGTTAGGTGGTGCAGTGGCTAGAGCACTGGGTCTTCAGTTAGGATGACATGAGTTCAAGTTCTTTCTCAGACACTTCCTTAGACACTCAGACTTCCTCAGAAACTCAGATATGTGACCCTGGGCAAGTCACTTAACCTCTGCCTGCTTTAGTTTCCTCAACTATAAAATGGGGATAATAATAGCCTTACTTCACAGAGTTGTTGTAAGGATCAAATGAGATATTTGTAAAGCACCTATGCCTGAAACATACTAGGTACTTAATAAATGCACGTTTCCTTCCCCTTTCCCTTCTTTATGAGCATTTTTTGGTCCAAGAAGAATGGGAACTTGGGGTAATTGCTCACCTATCTGTACTCTAGATAAGTACTTTGGAAATGACATCCAAAGACTTTGGTGAATAGAGCAATGGTTTCTCCTATTAAGGAATCTTTTTTGTAATTATAATGGAAACCATTTCAGACTGAACAGTTGTTCTTTGGCAGTATGTCTAATAGACAACAGTATATTTGAAAATTGGCTATGCTAATACTCTTTGCAAATGGCAAGACTTTTGCAAACAAAAAGATCGGTAGACAAAACATTTTCTCTCCTTCGTTTTAATAAGATTCTTAATACTACAATACAAGAGCTGTTTTGAGGATAAATTCAAATTATTTTTGGAATGAAGATATAATTACAGTGTATTATAGATTTTGCTAACAAGTGCTAGATTATATATAATCTTGCTTCTTTTCATCTTTTTGCTGTCTCTGTTCCATTTAGCCTGCAAAAGCATTTCATCTATACTAATTCATGTTAGTTAAGACATTCTCTGTACAGGATAGTAGAATATTGCCCATTTCAGATCAGTTTCTTAATTCAAAAACTAAATTCCTAACTCCAAATCTCTCAGTCACCTAAAATACTAAGAAAAGGATAGTTTAGCCCTATTTTAAAGGGTCCTATTTCCTTTTACATCCTGAGTTCACTGATGGAAACCATTATAACTGTTAGCATTAAAGGGACAGATAAAATATTTGCTGCAACCATTTAGATCATGGTATTACGTAAAATTTGATTTGTGGAATAAAGACAATTTTTAGCTTCCTTTAAAGGTCAAAAATGCGTTGTTTTTTTAATCATTTATTTGTTGGTGAGCCAGATGTGATTTGATTTGTTTGGGGAATTCCAACATAACTGAGAGCCTTTCAGAGTTGCCTTTGGGGGCACCTAGGTGGCGCAGTGAATAGAGCACCAGCCCTGGATTCAGGAGGACCTGAGTTCAAATCTGGCCTCAGACACATCACACTTATTAGCTGTGTGACTCTGGGCAAGTCACTTAACCCCATTGCCTAGCCAAAAAAAAGTTGCCTTTGGCACTGAAACATTAAGAAGATTATCCGGCCTCAGACACTTGAAATTTACTAGGTGTATGACCCTGGGCAAGTCACTTAACCCTGATGGCCTCACCAAAAAAAAAAAAAATAACATTAAGAGGAGTGCCTGTTGTATCAGAGGCAGCACTTGAACCCACCTTTTGTAGGGTTAATCCAGAATTGGTTACCTACTGTTATCCTTTAGGTGATGCCTGTTTCTTGGAGGAGTAACATCTGAATTGGGGATAGATACTACAGCGCACAAGGATTAGGAAACAATACTTGTCCTGGATAATATTTCCTATTGATAATTTTCCTATTGATTTCCTATTCGCTCTGCTTTAGACGGCCAGCTGCCCAAAACTGTCAGGGCATGAGACTGGCAGTGCTTTCTGGATGATTTGGGAGAGGAAATGCAGGACAGAGGACACACTCTAATCTCCCCATTAACAAAAATCAGAAGGAAGTGCTAATGAGCTGTGGAATTAGAGAAAGTATTAGAAAAAGAGGAAGTGAATGGCATGAATAATGTACTAACTGAATAATTCAGAGTTTCTTTGTAGAAAGAAAGGCCTCTGATAGGTATTGGACACAAACCTATTATGTAGAGACACAGCATCTTACAGTTACGTTCTCAGAGTCCAAGCCCTTGGTAATTTGTTCTCCCTTTGAGACTGATGGTTGCCTGTCATGTTTTCATACTTAGGTATTGATTTTCGTAATTACCCATTGTCCAAATACAAATTTCTCAAGCATTATTCTTTCTAGATTTACTCAGCATGCTAGTCTATCTGTCACATCTTATTGAATTGATTTAGTCTCTCGGACTACATTTCATTAGAGGTATTGACTTTGTTTGTTCACTCAATGGATAAGCCGTTGAGCATCAGACAGAATTAATTTTTCTATACTTAGGATATCTTAAATCATATTTTTCTTATGCCTTATTAAAGTACTTTTGACATTTGGTTTTCCTTTTTTGGAGCCAGGAAAGCTGGCATTTCTTTCAAAATTATGCCAGTGATGTTATATTCAAAGTTGCAAATACATTTGTATAAATCATCAGGCTAATGAAGTAATTTTTGGAGAGGACTCAGGTTTACATTACCTATGCCTCACGTCTAGGAAGATCTTATCCATATTACAATCAAATAATAACAAATTTCTGAGAAAATATTAGTTGGTACCCTTTCAAGACTCATTTTTGTTCAAAGAGGTTTTTTTGTTGTTGTTTTTGTTTTCTGACTTTTCTTAAAAGAGGTGTTGAAGAACAAGGAGTCTCTCAAATCTTAGTGAAGTTTTAAGATGTAATACCTTCAGAAGTTTGAATGCTACCAATTTAAAAAATTTTAAAGTATAATTATATAAATTTATTTTTTTACTTATTTAGTATTGTGAGTTTTGAATAATAAATTTTTAAATTTGTTAACTAGACAAGGACACCTTGTAATTTTGCATTGTGTATAAGAGTTTCCTTATGACACTTTCTCAAACCATTGCATAGACAGACTCTTTGCTCAGCCACCTCTGTCACCAGACTTTTTCCTTTAGCCATGTATGCATCAAAATTTCATTCTTTGAATGATCTTAAGGCTAGAATTACAAATGCAGCCCTTTCAATAACTGCATATAGCTAATGAAAGTTTTTACAAAGTTCAAAAATCGCCAGGAGTGATGGTTTTGTTGAAATTTATCAATAGTTTAACATTTTAAATTATTTACCTTTTACTTGTTGTTTCTGTAAGTTTGTAGCATTTATACTTCTGAAGTTATTAAAGCTTAAAACTATAGTTTTGAGACTATATACATATACACACATATATCAACTACTCAATCATATATTATATACATATATAATATGAATATACATACATAATTTAAAGGTTAAATTACTTCATGGCAGTTTTATACACCCACATGTAATATATGGCTCACTGGTTAGTTTTCATGGTTATCTTTTCATTCTTGCTGTTATTCCTTAAAAGGCAATCTTAGAAATATCACATTGAATTTTGATATTAAATAAATAAGTACTAATAGATTCCAAGTTTGAGGGTATTTGTTTTATTATATTATTTTTACTCCTGTTGGCAAGATATACTTGCACACGCTGTAACCTTCCAGATTAGTCAGTAGAGGCCTTGTGGAAAGAACACACTGGGGTCAGGGGACATGGGTTCATATGCCACCTTTGATGCTTGGGCTAGATGTCCTCTGAGGCAAATTCTAACACTAGATCTATGATACTATAAATTTGTACAGCACTTCCTCAATGAAAATGATGAACATTCTTCTGTCCATGATCTCATACTTGGGAGTACTCCTTCCATTACAGACTGCAACCTGTCTATACCTTCTTGTCCATTTCTTTCTGCAAATGATCAGAGGACTTTCTCTCTGAATACTGTAGGTTTTCCTCTGGTTCTTTTCATATTTCATGAGTATCAGTGTAGCACTTGAGATTAGATCAATAAATTAACTGATAGAGCTCTGTAGTTACAAGGCAATTTTTATGCATGATCTGATTTGACTCTCACAACAACCTGTAAAGATAAGGTATATATTGATGTATGTTACAGATGAAGAAACAGGCTTATATAGGTTAAATTGCTTCATGGAAGTCATCCAGCTAAAACAGTCCTGACTCTAAGATTCAGTCCCAAGTCTTTTATGTGTAGGCTGAATGTTGTTTCTACTATATTATTGAAATAATTAAGGTAACACATTTTAAGTCCTTCCATTTTAAATGGACTCAATCTGTCTTTTTTTAAATAGGAATATGGTCTATCCCTTTTTTAAAAATATCTAAATTTCTTGTGGAAAGCCACTAGGTGAAAGGGATGGAATTTTACCATCTCATATATTAATTCCATTTTGCCATAATGAAACATGATAGGCAGCCATCAACCAGAAAGATAGAAAAAGCTTCAAAGATTTGGGTCCTGATAACTACATCTTGTTATATGGAAAATTAGTTTTAACTCTTAAACCCCAAATAATGTTCATTTGCTGTAATAGTATGGAGGTATGAAATAAAAAGGAATTATTGCATTTATAGCCCATTTCAGAACTCTTATCCTAATTCTGAACTGAATTTTTTATCCCATTAAATTCTTGTTCTATCTCTTCCCAAATACCCAGGGAAACATATGCATGCAATATAAAAATATACTCATATACACACAGATACAAACTGGGCTTTTTTGTTTTTTTGTTTTTTGTTGTTAACCTTTCTTTGTTTATCAGCTCAAAAACTTTGGTGGAACAAACTTTTACATTCATCATAGAATTATAGACTAAATCAGATTTTAGAGCTGAATTCAATGATTTTTTTAA